TTTTTTAAACAACCTATTTTACAGCTTTGGCACAACTGAGATAGAAAGGGAACATGCAAGCACAGCAACACCATTTACACATCAAAGGAAAGGGAAGGACAGGGAAAAATATAAAGACAATCAAGTTGTAACAAAAGAGGACGCTAATAAAGAAAAAGTTAAATAACCAAAACCTTTTGCTCAAATCAACAGATTGATAATTAAACTTTGCTATATTACCCAATAAAACATCAGCTGCGAGTAAGTGATCCATCACTCCATCCAAAACGTACGTCTGAAACTCCTTCTGCTGCGTTCGTGTTGATCTTTCAGGGGAAGCCTGATAAAAGAAATACAATGTTAAGATAATGAATAACTCTGAGTGAGCAAAACGACGGAGAGGGAGGGTGTTCTAGGTGAATTCCTCTTTTCTCAGCTCTTGTGAACCATCTTTTTTTCTCTTAACATTCTGTCTCAAGTAAAAAGTCTCGGCTTTATCTAAAAATTTAAGAATGCATGTCAAGTATACACTGGCTGTATGCAGTCTTACAGAGTAGGCATTATTCCTGTTTAAATTCAGTAAATTTGTCTTCTGCCAAGAAAAGAACACATTCGGAAAAGCTGCATGGTTAACCTGTGACCTCCTCAGTTCACATAGTCACCTTCCTTCAGTTAAAAAAAAAAAAAAACAAAAAAACCTTAAGCAGGACAGATCAAACATGTAAGTTGATCATCACTTCTGTGTGGAGTTCTGCGTATTACTACAGCAGCCTTGGTATAGTCATATAATAAGCGGATGTGCTAAGCCTTTCTAATTTCCTTTGCACTTAAAGGGGAAAAACACTTTATCACCTTGTGTTGTTCAATGAATACATAATCATACCTAACTGAATGATCCCCTTAAACAGTCCTAGAAAGCAATATAACATTAAGTGAACCTGCTTTTGTCTTGCCCTGTAACAGTTTAGCAGTGTGTACATACCCAGTCCTCTGTTTATGCTAAGGGGTCAGTAATTAACATTGACAAGTGACAACAGATTAAAACAGCAGTAAAGCAACTACAACCAATTGAAATATGCTTCCTGATGTTCACATATAACTGCATCTCTTGACAATTCATTTTTTGCTTTGTGACAGCAAAAAGATGCCAAACTACTCCAAATTTTTTAGGAAATGCACAAGCACAGTCTAAAATTCCTGCAGCTATCAAAGAAAACAGGGAGACTCAGCAACACATAGAGGGTAACAAATAGGCAGGTCAAGCAAGAATGTGAACTGAATGTTTCAAAATACATTGTCTGAAGAAGGTGTGGCCAAGTTAAACAGTAACCGAACTCCTCATTCCCTGCCTCACCATTAAGAAAAGGATGCTTTCTGCAGATATCACAAACTTTAAAAGATAATTTACGGGAAGATAACAGTTATTTTGTGAACTTTTACAGCATATGGTACCATACGTCTGCCACTTCTTTTTATCTAATATGAATAAAACAGAAGCCTTAATATTTCTGCAGGGATTTGCAGGGATTTTATGTTTTTGACAGAACCAATACAGTTGTCATGGTCTGAAAGGTGTTTAACAAATGAATCATGTTCTACAAAAACAAAACCTGAAGAAAGCTACAACTTCTCATGCTGCACTGTTGAACATCTACTGTTGCAATCCATTACCTGGTTCCAGACGAAAGGAGGTATTGGCTAAGATGCCAAAACAAGATTCTGGCTGCTCTAAAGTGAGCACAAAATAGAAATAAAATATTGACATGGCATGCTCAGCAACTAACAGAGCCATTTGACTGGCCGAATGAGAGTTAAGGAGCCCACAAACAAAAGCAATAGCAGGGCTGTGGTGTGGAGGGGAGAACAGAGCACAGCAAGAAAAAAGCCAGGTAACCAGCATGCAGACTGTCAGCTCAAGCACGTGAGATGGTCACCAACATACATGAATGCTGGGGCGGGGAGGGGCAGGCAGGGAGGAGAAGTCCAGAAAACATTCTCAAAGGAAGGCTGAAATAAACCCTCTGCATTTGCTTTCTTAGTTTTTCCAAGCTGTTAAAGAAAGGGGAGCAAACTGCTATTTATGAGACACTAGTGTTCCTTTTCTTTTTTTGCTCTTAATTCATGACAATTTACAGAATCATACTGAATCCCAGGCCGTCACTCCTCTAACTTCAAAAGGTATGTAAAGGAAAACATTTTAGGGAATAAGTGTCATAATAAGTTCAAATAATAAAAAAAACCCAAAACACAAAACACAAAGAAATGGTACCTCTAGCAGAAGATCTACCAGTGGAGTCTGTTTGCTGGCTGGTGTGAGACATAAGTTATCAATTATCAGCACACGCATGAAGTCAAACACAAACTTCTTGGCAGGATGGTTGGTTAGGTATGTCTTGGTGCCAACATTGCAGTATTCTGACTGGCTCCTGTTCATGCCCGAATCAGCTGCAAAGGCTTTAAACTCTTCAGCTGGGGACCCAACTTCATCATCAAGATCAGTGACCTGTGAAAAAAACCACGTTAAAACTCTAGAGATAGCAAATTAACAGTAGTTTGTTCGCTACTCCACTCTTTACTTGTCTTTCTAAGGCTATTCACTTCACATTTTGCTTCTTAAGAAGCCTTTTTACAAGATTATTGCATTCAGGATCAGTCTAATACACAACAGGAAAAACATTGAAATTCTAGTTTTGTGTTCCCAAAGCAAACAGTAATCAGTGAAGGCTGGCATGTGTTACGTGAACTAGAGATCACATTTCATATTCACTTACCAATAAGAAGTACTTGAGCAATTTCTAGACACTTTGCAAAGATAAATTTTCTCATTGCAAAAAAGAAAAGCTTTGAAAAAATTAACTAAAGCAGTTAAAATAAAATCAAGACAGAAGCCAACTAAAAAAGGTTATCAAGCTTATGTGACAGAAAAAAAAAAAGCTCTCTACAGTTTTCCTCTTTCTGATGAACAAGAACCTTTGAGGGACTAGCTCTTAAGGAGGACTGTAACAAAAGCGCAAACAGTAATGACAGCTGTCAAATCCAAATGACTGGCTGTTTTTATCTAACACCCTCCTCCAAATTCAAGAGAAGACAATATGATTTCCCTCAACAGGCTTAGTGCATCACCAGCTTACATGTGAAGTAACCAAACATTTTGAATGTTTGGTCTGCTTCAGTAGGAGAGTTCTCCCAAGAAATGAAGAGAAGCCTAGACGCGTAGTCCTTCTGGTTTTAATGGCAACCTCAGAAAGGCTGAAAGATCAGTTAGGATCTTTCTCTCAAGGATGAATTTGGACTATAATGTTTTATTGCAGGGAAACTAGCTGTTATTAATCTATCTCACAAGGGATTGATTAGTTCTACATGTTTGGGCAGAGGAAAATGCTGGAGCAGCAAACTGATTTAGAGTCAAGAGAGCCCTCAAAGAGCGAAGAGCTCAAGTTGTCAGGCAGCTATTGGAAGTTTCAAGGGACCTGGTAGTTAAAGTAAAACCTGCTCAGAGACACAAGGCTCCTCTAAAAAACTCTATGTAGGTGAATGCCAAATCAGCATTACCAGTTTGTAAGTGGCACTTGTTTTTTTTAAGAGTGCTCCTGGCATCTACTTCAAGAGCAAATTAATCTAAAAAGCAAAATAAACTATCTTTACGAGAGACTTATCAGCACACCCCTTTAAAAATTGATCTCCCATTTCTATTGACAACAAAAAGATAGTATGCCACCAGTATTTCCTGAAGTATTTTATCATACCCTCCCTAGTTCTAGCATTTACCAACCTGTAGCCTAACTACCCTTCCATGTTCTTAGTAAAATTACTTTTAGACGTTGGCTAACAATAACTGTTTCCTTGCCATTCATATTGTAGAAACAGTATCATTTGTAAATGATGCTTAGCTCAAAAAATACTTCAAGCGGCAATGCAAGCAAAGTTGAATTCACACCATCTCCTGGCTTGAACTCAGTAGTTCCAGGTAATACAAGAACACTGTTTTGTGGTTAAGCCACAAAAGAAGAAATGGGAAGTGGGAGGCAAAAAGAAGTTTTAGGTTTTATCACATCCTCCAGACCAGAGGGCTGAAAGCATAGGCTGACCCAGCCTCTTTTGGTTTTGTAAATCTGAGCTGACATTGTTCATATGAGTGAAAAAACTGATCCACTAGAAAACAAATAAACCATGTACATTCCCCCTACAATTAAGTTTCAGATGTCGCTGCACAGCACTGCCCTTCAGATGAACATGCGCTTCTCTCAGTTCTACAATGCAAGTACAAAACATCCAGCCCAGCCTTTACAACAACCTCTTTCTGCAGGGTAAGTAGAGCTTTATCTTGTATGACTGTTAATTGATAAATCCTCAAAAGTAACATTCAGGGGAAAAAACAAAAGAGTGAACTACTTGGATTTCCTACCATCTCAGAGTAAGGTCGTATGTTGAAAGGAAACACTGTTGCTGCCAGCGCACACAGGAACTCTGGACTCATCCACAAGGAAATGAGGTCCGGCACATTGTGATACAAATATCGAAAGAACTGCATCAAGGTGACTGGATATTCTCGAAGCCAAGAGCCTTCTTCCTCTGACTGCCAAGGCTGGGTTGAAAAACAAACAGCACATTAGCACAGATGGTACTAACTGAAGAATGCTCATTTCAGAAAGGAGCTGCAGGAAGAGGAGCTGTAGGGTCAAATATGCAATCAAACACATTGTCAAACAGGCAATGAAACACATGATCGTGACGTGATCAAAGATGGGGCCAAATGTGATCAACCACGTGGACAAGCACTTGTTCAAGCAGAGTAGAAATAAGTGACTGAACATGTGGCCAAGCACATGACCAAGTGTGCAAAACACATATGGAACATGTCAAATGTGTGTTGGAGCACTTATCAGAACACATGACTGAAGACATGGTGTCTGAATATGTGACCTAATATCTGATCAAACAACTGACAGAAAATGTGTTTGAGCACATCACCAACGTGTTGCAAACCTGACCCAATGTGACAGAACATGTGTAAGCATGTCACCATACAATGAACACCTGACCAAACACATGGCTAATCTTGCCTCCAGAATGTGGGACAACTGAACAAGCTACCAACTTCTAACACACACATAAATCATATATTCAAACCATGTGCCTGCAACAGGTGACAACAGAACATGTGATAAGAGAACATGTGTCCAAGCCATCACAAACGCGTGACTGAACACACAGCAGCATGTCATTGTATCATAAATGCATGAGAAACACCTAGCTGAACATGACAAACATGACAACAGGACATGTCATGATAAAATAGGCTGGAACAAGTTGCAAGCACATGATGAAATGTAACCATACACATGACTGAACATGTGGTAAACCCACAGCAATAACACAGGGCAGCCTAACACATGACAGTAACTTATGCCTGAGTATGTGTTCGAGCACATCACAAACAGGAGACTGACCTGCTTACAACACATGACTGACCGTAAGACAAAACATGTGTCTTAACATGTTAATGATTCAAAACATTTTGGTAAACATGACCTGACTCATGTCAACCTAAAAATGTGATGGCACATTTGAACATACACCTGATAACACAGCACAAGACAGCAAGACAAGAGACAGCACATGTCTCTAAGCATGTCACAAATGCATCCAAACAGGTGAAGACCAAACACATGACAGAACAGGTCATCAGCAAGAGACAGAACATGTGACAACAGGAACACGTACCGCAGCAGGTCACGAACATGTAACCAGTACATACGTCCAGAAGATGCTTCTGAACATGTTAACATACAAGAGACATGCAAGCAATGCTTCTCAGAGCACATCACAAAACACATGACGACCAGACAGGCAACAACCGAACAGGTGCTGCTTTTCAAACATTTAATGAGAGAATTTTCAGCAGGTAACACACTCTGGCTCCAAGGAAATAAAAAATTTTCCCACTGAGAAACCAACTTTCACTACTCTTGACATTAGATTCAAAGATGAGAAGATGACACATTTTTCTGGCAGAAAATTCATTTCCTCCAGCATGCGGCTATTAATAGTCAGGGGACTTCTCTGCATGTGGAAGGTTCATGCACAAAATCTGCAACTCGCATAGCTCTGAGCAGATGGGATATAGAGTCTCAAACATTCCCCCACGATGTTAATCAGGAAAGAAATTCAATGATCTCTGCCAAGGGCATTTTATCCTTCTGCTTTCTTGTCTTGTTTTAATTGCAGCAAAACACAAAGCCCAGCCTTTTTGTGAAAAAGCAGCGTTAATTTTGTGGCCACTAGTATCTCTACAGATACTGAAAAATAAAGTAACATAGAATAACCCACTGACAATGATGGTTTGCACCCAAGTATTTATGAGCCTAACTCACAGCTGGGTTTGTTGTGACACTAACAAAACCTCAACTTTTCTAATTCGGCTTTTGACCACATGGCAAACTCAAACAATTCTGTACATTCAAGTATGAGCAAGATTTTTTATGCTTACGGAATTCAGCATGCTTCTCAGCATTCCCAGTAACAAGAAGGCAGCTTCTGTGCAAACACTGTGTATTGAGGAGGTAACGGTGCCACTGGAGGCAGGAACTCCAAATATGAATGTCCAAATAGAGTCTAAATCAAACTGTAAGAGGTGAAAGAGAAGAAAGAAGACATGAAATAATCCCTTTCTCCTGTGCAATTTGATACTGCTTTTAATTACATCTACAATATGCTCATTTGGCATTATCTAAAAAATTAATTGTTTCACGTCCTCCAAACTTTATCCCCAAAAGCTTCATATGAAGGTCGCGTCTCACTGAAGAAAATTCCTTCTAACCATGGGCTAATGTAACTGCAACTCGCACCTTCTCAAAGTATTTAAGTGTTTTGAAACAAGAAGAGATATGACAGCACAAGTGCTGCACAATCAACTCAGTTTACTTCAGTTGCATCTAGCCGTAAAACTTACATGGCATCCCACAGAACAAAAAAAAACAAAGAACAAACCAAACAAACCAAGTTGCTTTTTTCAGCAAGTTCAAAAAATTAAATCAATTAAAAAAAAGGACAAAGTGCCCACCTCTAGCATTAAGAGTGCTACTGCTAAATATTTTAAATAGTTGAATTCAGTTTTGATTTAACAGTGCCGTACTTCAATGCTGTAAGCAGGAGATGAGCTTCAGGCCTCTGCTTTACTTTAGCACAGTGCTGAATGCGCTGTCAAGTATTCCTCTTGAGAAAACAGGCAGGCAGAATACCTTCTGGTCTGAAATTTTTACTTTCCAGTTCCCATGGATAAATAGACGTTAGCACTGCATCCATTCTAAACAGGCACCTTGTCTATCTGGAGTGTGGCTTTTCTCCATAAAGCACTATACTAAGGCTTTCTAGGACTCTGTTGTAGACCATATAATATCTACTAATTTACATACAATTAAAAAAAGTCCAAAATCAACCTGTTCAGAATAAGAACAATAAACGTTTTCCAGCAAAAACTGAGATGCCTCCCTACAAAACCACAGAGACTTTCTGAAATAAAAGCTACCTTGTTTTGTCTGTAACCTCGTGCACTCTCTTCAAGACAGTAACTCCCCACTCTTTCAAAAAAACAACAAAAAAAAAAAAACCAACCAGCAAAGAAAGCAAGCAAAAAATTATGCCCCTTTCAATGCCCACACCACGCCAGCTCAAACCAGGGATCTGCTTCTCATTTGATCCCAAAACAGACAAGAAAGACACGAGCGACAGCTATGGCATAACAGGCTGGCTTCCACATACTCCCATGGTACCTTGTCCTCCCACCCCAAACAGCTCAGCACTAAACACCACATCGTGACTGTGAGTCAGCTGCAGAGATGAAGGGGGCCTGGTTAATCCATTATTTTCTTTCACGACAGACAGAATTACATTTACATCTTACTAGACAATCCCTACCTGGCAACCCTGATTACATCGGCTGCTGATGACAGGTGCACTGACCTGCAGGTTTTCGGGCAGTTCAGTGACCGGCTGCTGCAGGAAAAGGGCCATGAGGAGGAAATAGAGTGCAGGTACATTAGTGTGCTTTGGGAGGAGAGACTGCAGAACAGGAAAGCCTGGGAAGTGACAAGCATCCCGGTTAATCTCCCGGACTGTCGATCTGCCACCAGCACTCCTGCCAACATTGAACCCTAAGATGAAAAAAAAAAAAAAAAAAAAAATACAAAAAGCCAACAATGTTAATAGGGAAATCCTTGTGAAGCTCACTCTTACTTAAGTAGCAAACTCGAGAGGGTACCTCCTCAGAAATTAATGCTGTAAAAAATGAATGTGTGCATACAGACTACCACACGCATATTACACAGTTCTGCTTCAGATGTCTAACTTCTTTAATCAATAAAAAAGGAAATTATTGCCTTCCAGTACCACATAGATGACACTGCTCCATACAGACTGCCTAATGCTACTGCATACACACACAGATCCATTTTCTGACCACAACCACAATTTCAGACTTTTAAAACACCCAAGCTTCTGAAAAAAGGTATTTTGCTGGCTGAGAGGGAAGCTCTCTGTACCTTAATTTCAGGTACAGATTTATATTATCAAGCAGCAATCCCATGGTTCATTTAAGTTGATGGGTGGCTGATTTGTTTCCAAAGATGTTTCAGGGCATCTTGTTTCAGCTGGTTTGTTACTGATTAATCAGTTGGTACGAAGCATTAAATGCTCTTATTTTATCTTAAGTGCTGCCAGAGGCACAAAACTCACCGTTTGTGACCCTGTTTCTACCTGGGTATTTAATTTTCCTATTAAAAAAAAAAACCACTAGGATGGCAGAAGCTCTTATTTTCAAGTGAGGAAGGAGACTAGAAGACAGTTCAGTCTCTGCACCAGCACAGACAGTGAGCTATTCTTCTGACACTGCGAGAGATCAGGTTGTTTTTCCAAGGCTCTAACACAGACATTCTTTCCACCAGAAACTGAGTTCTTAAACAGAAAACATCTACCAGGAATCAGACTAATGAAATCTTTGCTACAAAGTTGCAGGAATTCCATCAATAATCTTGAACAAAGATGGCTCATATTTGGTTTCATAAGAAATCTTGGAGCCAATGTGTTGTAATTTATTAAAAAACACAGGGTATGAAAGTTAGATAATCTGACACTACCATTTGATGAGGCACAAGTTTAAAAATATCTGTTTGGTCACAATCTAGCTTGGATTCAATTAAAGTGATACTATAATAAGAAAAATAGGAAAACTCTACAAATACTCTCCAAATGTGATTGTAAATAAAAACCTTATTTAGACAGATTTTCTAACTGAAGAAAATTTTTATGGTTTTGGACACTTAAAGCGGATACTGAATAAACAACAGTCAATTCCCTAAAATATCAATGGTTTTCAAATTTTAAGGCACATGCATGTGCATAAACTGTTTCTCAAATAAAATACAGGACCTTAATCAGAATTAGCCAAACAACAAATGCTATAGTATGTTAACAATGACTGACTGTTTGCACTTGTAGTATGGTTTCTGAAAAACTGTTTTCCTTAACCTAATTCATTAATAATGCAAAGAAACATCCTATGTTCCTAGTTGTATATCCTGAAGGATATATTATGGGAAACCACTGTAAACAGACAGACTTAATAGACAGTTTTATTTATGTAAAAAATAACAAGATAGCATAAGATACTTTGACAGATTTCAAAGAGACCAAACAGAAAAAAATGGACTTTATATTTTCATTTCAGGAAAAGTCCTCTTCCTGAAGTAAGACCACTTCAACAACACCTCACAATTACTTCCTTATAATAAACCAATTTGGAAAAACCTTTAGCGCAGAAACAGATCATATACTGCTTCAACACAGAGAGGTGGCTCCTTGTACAGTCATTTTAGAAACAACAATTAAGTTGAAAGTACTATTAATACCACTGCCCTGATCTAAAGCCTACTCAAGGTCATGAAAGACTCCCACTTAATGTCAACAGTTTTGCATCAGGGTCTGAACGGACATGTGTCTGAAAAGCACTACCTTATTTTGACTAAAAAAATACAGGTCCATGGGAAATCACCACTACCCCTGTCTACACAGAATTGACATCTGTTATTTCAGACACTTGGAGATGCATTTCAGACAGCTTAGAGATGCTGAAAATGGGTCCTGTAGCACTAAAGCCTTATACACTGAATTCTAGATCACATGGGGTAACGGAAAGTTCTGACAACCTGGATAAATGAGGCTTTAAGAACCTGCAAAGAAAGTCTTTAATAACAGACAGAGCGCGAGCGTGCATGCATGCAGGAGAATGCAGGAGAGGGAAAGAAAGGCTGAGACGATACTGTGAACAGCTCAGGTATAACATCGCATGATGGTCTAACTAATAAAAGTAAACAAACAAGTAAATTTAACTGAATCTTTAACACCTATGTACATAAGGTTCTATGCTATGCTACCTTTGCATTTAGCTCAGGTGTGCTTGCCCATAGGACATACTTAACTGTACCATGATGGTAACAGCAAAAACTGATTAGCTACACAGGCTTCATGCAGATGATGAGGTAATACTGAACTACAATGAAATCTGTGTAATGTCAGCTGAAGGGCAGTTTTGTAATACCACTTCTTTTGCATAGGAAATCTAACTCTTAGTTGTAAGAAAAACAAAGTGCAGAGGCATCTGATTGCAGCACAGACAACAGTAACAGAAAGGATGCATCTGCCAGATAGTACTCATACAATAACCTCCGCCTTGACACATACGCACACACACTTGCACACAATCCTTCAGTCATGAAGGGGCTGAGATGCCGTACCTAGCACAGTACCAATCTTATTGGTCAAGACAGAATCCGTCTGATCGAGCCAGCCTCCGCCACTGAGACCCTCCTTAAATTTGATAAGGATGGACTGGTTACTCAACAGGACCACAAGAATTCGCATGGCTGCTGTGACCGTGGTGGAATGCAGATGTTCTTCCATAAACATCATAATCCAATCAAAACCCAGTGTCTTGACCAGTTCTTCACAAGCCCTAATTAAAGAGAAAAAAAAAAGTAATCACATTTTACAGCATTTAGTTTCCTACTAGACAGCAAAAATCAGCGTCCTCCCCTACAGAGCAAACTTCAAGAACAGAGAAAATTCAGATCTATTGAAGAGTTAACTGAATTCTTAGGTGAGGTTTCTACACAATAAGAAATGTTGCTCACCAAATCTTGTTAAATGGAACACTTAGAGTGTATTTGTTTAGCAGAAAGGGAAGACTAAATACAGTTCTGGGGACTATTCCATTGCATGAGATTTCCCCAATTTCTGCTTTTGATAACAAATGTGGAATGCTAAACTGGAAATGTTTTACATAAATTACAATTTCCAAATACTTTTTGCTGAGCCATATGTAGGTAGAGAGTTTTCACAAGCCTTTTTAATAAACTGGTATTAAAAAATGAGGGTTTTTTGGGGTTATTTTTTTTGGTTAAGGGAAGAGTTGCATGGGAATATTTGAAAGAATATGGTCTCCCCCCTCCCCCCTTTTAAAAAACAAAAAACAAAAAACAACAAAAACCCAAAAAACCAGTATTGCTGAAAAGCTCAAACTGGTTCAGGTTGTATATCAACCAACACTCAGTCAATTGCTACATAATCTACATATGCCATATGTCCACATAATGTGTCCAACAAGCTCAATACAGCCTACTGGCCAGTTGCTTGAAAGTTGTATTTTGTCAAGGTTTAACTTGACAGTGTTTCAAAGTCTCTTCTCCAACTCACCATATGAGTCTAGTGCCTCATTAAACTATAATATCATGTTCCCTCACATGCAATTTTAAGGAACTAAGGGGCATTCTAGGGTCAGTGATCCTAACGATAACCCTACTGAAGCCATCTGATCTTAACCAAATGAGAAGTTGACTATCCCACTTCTCTAAAAACACAAGTTTTCTCTTTCGACAGATTTTATTTTCTCTGTAGCCACGCATGAAGTTATGAGAAAACAGCACCAAGAAGTACGCAAGGAGAGCAGAGGGTCAAAGAACCAGCTCGCCAGATAACAAACCTTAAAAAAATCAAAGTAGCCAGACATCCACTCTTGTTTCCACTGCATCCTAATTCACTTGTGATCCTCTGTCCCTCAAAGCTTTAAAATTAACAATTTTACAAAGGCTATTTTTCTTCCATGAAGTAACAATAAGAAGCAGGCAATCTCCCCCCGATCTACTACGTATTTTCCTCTCCTGCTGATACTTACTTCTGTTGTTCCTAACTTGAAGCATCAGTTTCTACTAATGCTGTCAACCATGGTCTTAATCTTTTTTTTTTAAAGATTCGAAACAAAAAAGTTAATGCCATAGCTGGAAGATACGTGTTAGTTACACCAGCATCTGCTTAGTACTGTTATTCTTGCTACCACAACTGACAGCATACAACTCAATAATCATGCATTCCATTTCTGCTAGCATACCCAAAGCTAATTCAGTGACATCTGCATAAATCATTCAATAGTTCTTATAAAATTATGCAATTCAACTAGTGAATCATATGGGGGCTGTATAATTCTCCCCCTTGAAATAAAAAATTATTTACTTTCTCTATCTCAAGCTTTTTTGTACTTACTGCAAATTAACAGTTGTCTTTTCTTTAGATGTATACAGAAGTTTCAGAAGGATATCTAAAAGCCTGTTCCGCAGTAGAATAAGATTAGCTGAAACAAGTCCTCCAAAATCATCCTCTGTTCCTAAACACCAAGTACAAAAAAAAAAAAAAAAGCAAAGTTAGGCTTTTGGAACTCTGACATTTTAAAGGCTATTCATATATTCCACACATAAGCAAACGCAACCTGATCCCAGTCAGGTCAGAAGGAAGCCATGCTAAAGTGCAGGCAGTCTGCTATACAGTGCTGAGAAACACTTGGTGCCCCATTATCATCGTCACACAGTTTGGTTAGTTTGAAGAACAGGTAAAAGGGAATCGCAGCCTCTCAGACAATAATCTAAACTGAGGTGGTCCAAATTAGCGAAACTAGTCACTCCTGGCAGGTAGAGACATAAAAACAATCAAACACACATTCCACCCCCACTCCCACAACACAACAGTTGGATAAGCATTTTGCATTATTGGGGGAAAGGGGAAATCCCAAGAAAAAAAAAAAACCCTGATACTTTTCAACTCCCTCAAAATCTAAGAAATGGGGAGAAAAATTCGTTTCCTTTTCTTTCAACTGCTCCCCAAACTCATCATCAGTTGAAAATCACACTGCAAAACAAGCAAATACATGCAGCTCAGGACTAGCTTTACAATTATTTTGTGAATCCCTCTTACTGTACCTTATACTGTCAAAGGAGGACTATGTTTTTACATTACTTAAAAAAAAGAAAATTGGAACTTGAGGCGACACGCAAAAATTAAGACAGATAAATGCACACTTCCTGGGCCAAAGTTTTGTGCACAAGTCACAGACACGAACACAAAGCATCTTCTGTGGCAGAAATACAGCAGAACTGATGAAGCCCAGTAACCTAAAAATCTCAGGTCCTTTGCCTCAAAAGCTTCTCTCTCCATTCCTTCCACAGCCTGAATTTCTCCCCAAGGTTCTTCAGTCCCCCAGGTAGGCAAAAAGCAGCTCAGGCCGTGGTTAGTCTGGGAAAAAAATATCACTGGCCTGTAGTGAGAACACCAATCTAGACCTGTCTCCAATACCCACTCCCTCTCTTTTTCACTAAAAAGCTCGACTTTAATCATCTTTGAGACTGCAATGAACAAAAGTATTCAGAAGGAACAGGAGAGGCACAGGGGGATAATGATGAATGTGCAGACTGTCTAAACCTTGTTTGTTGGGAAACTGGACTAATAAAGCTAACTGTAAAGTGGAAACACTTCTCTCTCACCTGTCCCTGTGCACCAGTATATTCCCGAGAGATGTAGAAACATAGGATCTTTGGGCACCCCCTTCTAGTTATCTGGGGGACATCCACTGTAGGGCTAAAACATTTCTGTTCAGGGAGACTGATCGAAAATACAATTGCATAAACACTTTTTCTTTAGGAAAACACGGGTAGAAATGGTCTCAAAATAATTGAATATAAGCATTCTTGAAGGACAGTAAAGAAACTTTTTTTTTTCCTCCTAAAAAAATAACTAGACTGTCTTAGTTAATTCTTTCACTTCTCCACACCTGGAGGGCAGATGCACCTAGTAATCTGTTTTTGCCTTTCTTCTCTCCCCACAAAGAAGCAGAGATGCACAGCTGATTTGAAGGAGTGAGTGGAGGAAGCAGAACAAAACTATGCAGTGTTAGATAAAGGAAAACAAAAGTACATGGGTTTTGTACTGCTTTGCACACAATACGGAAAACTGAAGCACCACAACTAACCAGCAGCTGGGTTATAACAAAATTACAATATTGCTAATGACAGTACTTCTACATTTTAAGTATTTAAGCACAGAAGAGATCGCAAAGTATTTCTCTTCTACTGCTTCTAAGCCATGCCATCACTTACCACTGTCAAGCTTTTCTTCATTGTTTATTTCCATGACCACAAACTTCTCACAGACTGCAAATGTAGGTAAAGTGGAAGAGATGAACTGTCCAAACCTTGATGCATACAGAAGAAAGAAAAAAAATCATTCATTGATATGACAGGTGCACTCTCATCTATCAATAATTCACCTTAAATAAAAAACCGTAACTCATGAGAGGGTGATACCCAAACCCATCAATTTTCTCATAGTTGAAGATTAAGGAAAATGGTCTCCATCTAAAGTTACTAGCCAAAACCCAGATTAATGTGTAGTAATTAGTAGAATCTTTGCAGACGAGTCTGCAGGTAAGGACCCTGAAAATGCTAGGATTCAAGAAGGGAAACTGGGAGGTACCACCAAGTCCTAGTAAAAGGAACACCATAAGTTAAAGAAAGGACAACAAAACATTATTCTCAAACCGCTACAGCTGAACAAGTATTACATCAAAAACAGTGATTATTTGACTCTGGTACAACGTTTAGGCCTATAGCTTGAGGTGATGTAACACAAGGTCATGGTTTTCTAAGACAAGGCAATGATGTGCTACTCAAAGAAAGGAGATGCAATATATTCCTCTTTCCTCTGGAACTAACCTGAAATGGTCCTAGCTAGTATAACTTCTCTCAAGTTATACAATATTTTTCATTTTTATTTCCAGGAAGGAGAACAAGAAACACTCTGATAGGCATTCTACAATATGTCCCATAACCATTTAAGCATAAAATCAACGGTTTTATTCTCAAATCATTTTTTGCCCTGCGTAATTCAAACAGACAGGTAAGATGTTCAGGTTGATGCTTCTGACACCTTCAGTTGTACTTAAAGTGAGAAGCTGAAAACACGACCACTTGTATGCAAAGAACCCCCAAGCCCTGCAATATTTTATCCACTTCCATTATAATGAAATGTAAGACAAGAAAAATTAAGTTTTCAAGGGGTTGGACTCATTTAAAAACATTTCAAATACTCTGTATGTATGAACTGTTATTATTCATGTAACTTTCATCGGTCAGAATTAATAGTACTGTATCTGACAGCCTTAAGTATTTTTCTAGACAGTGATGATTAAGAAAAAATCTTGAACTAAACCTTTCATGTGGGAAAGTAATCAAAGCTGCATTTTAACCAGAAGTATCATTATATCATCTTATATCATATATCATATATTATGTGATATATCACCTATATATCATCTTAAGTAATATTCAATGGTATTTAAGAAAAGTGCTCAGTGCTTCACATGAACAAGGGAGCTGCAATACAGCACCTTTCCTTTTCACCTGCAGAACATTAAGCCAGTTTAATCATTCAGTCATACCTGTTTAGATACAAGCTGAATTTAATATGCAAATTAAGGCATTAACAAAATTATTGCCTATGTCTAGTTCAGTTACTTCTCAGAGGAAAAAATTCAGTATGTGAGCATTTCATGCTACTTACTCCACAGCAGTATTACCATTACATATTTTTGACCAAGATCACCAACATAATAAAAGCACAAAAGCCAAAATTATCCTGGGTGTGGGCTACCTGAGCAAATCATAGCTGCTAGGGAAGCCTTGAAGCAGAAAGCTCAGCACATTACTAATCGCAGCAATAGTAGGCTGGGACAGAGACATATCTCGAAGAGTCAAGAGCAGTCTTGGGATGAGTTGGAATTCCCTCATTAACTTAGCGTTCTTTGCCGCTTCACTGGAAGAAGGAAAGAAAGGAGGTAGCAATTTAAAATTGGAGCATCCTCTACATATTTCCTAATCCTGTAAGTCTCATTGCTAGGCTGGCATCGGCTCATACCTGGACTCAGTGAGAAGTTCTATGAAGTGCTCAAATAATGACAGATGAAGCTCATATGGTGCATGAAGCCAGACCTGAAATACAGAATAAACAATGATATGTTTTGTACACAAATCCACTTTAAGATTTAAAACTGACTTTAGTATATCAAAGGTTACGAAAGGCTTGAAGAGATTAAAACTGTTCATCTACAAGACTATTTACCTGGCCATTACGTTTAAAAGCTCATTCCAAGGTTCTCAATTGTTTATTCTTCAACTTCAGTAAGTATTAAACATACTAGTGAAGACTAAAGAAACACACATTGGTACCAAACATATTCTCTGCTAGCGTATCATGCTGAAAACTTTTAAAGAGTTCTAGACAAAAAAGTTACACGCTATCTGGAATTTCTCTTTGAACAGATGGTGCAATGACTCCAAAGGAGTTACTGGGGTTTACAAGGCTGATGCAAAATGCTGTATTAAGTTTATTTGGCTTAAGTGAAGATTTTATCTTTGTAAAATTAACTTACTATCTGCTGCCAAGACTGAACTCAAGGTCTTCCTTTTTTTTTTTTTTTTTTAATCTTTACCCAGCATTTCCTGCACACCATTTTAAATGATTTAGCTCCTCTAAAAGAAAAAAAGTCAATTGTTCAATCAATAGAAGTAATAAAAGACATAAGTGCCAGAAAGCTCACAGTTATAGCTGCAAATCTTAAAATTGACTTGCTGTTGAACAAAGCATAATTAATACTTGCGTTCTGGTGTATAAAACTGGCTTAAACGAAAAGCTTCCTAGCTTTCGCTTTTCTTCTAATCTTATCATCTAAAATGATCAAAACAAATCTTTTCATTCCCTTGTTTAGCACAAGAGTAAGAACATCTAATTTATCCAATTTAAGTTAAAGGTTTGGGTCACTGATTTCTGAATACAGAAATAAAATAAGTAATTTAAAAAAAAAAAAAGCCAAAAACTGAGTCTTCTTCAAAGCTTCTTCTTAGTGACTCACAGACCTATTACTTGCATATTTTTTAGTTTTTTAGTCTGTTAAGCGTATTCATTCTCCAGTTGTTCTTGGTCTTCAGGGAAAAAAAAAAAAAAAAGACATGAACTAAACAATATGAAATTGGATCTTTCATACAGTAGTTGCTGTCTGAGTGACTATATACCATTGATGAAATTTCTCAGCTAGTTCCTTTATGGGGGAAAGGGGAAAAGAAAAAAAAAGAAAAAAAAAAAAAAGAGAGAGTATTCTTCATCAGAATTCATGCCTCACTGTAAAAGGAGCTGGGCTGAGATTCACACTCTTCCCCGCTAAACAGTTCACCTACCTTAAAACCTCTACCACAAATATTACCCATTGTAGATGTAATAACTTCTGTTAAGTCTATGTTTAATTCTGTGAGCATAAAGGAAGCATTATTGTAATTTAAAAGGCTTGTTAAAGAATAACTAGTTACATGATGCTGAAGAACTTAGGTTTAGACATGGCAAAAACTTATTTCTAGTTTTAATATTATGCCTCAAAAAAAAAAAAAAGCAAACTTTGGTAGGTGACAAATTTCCTCTATTTTAGATCCCCACTAAGGCTAAAAAAAAAAAAAAAAAAAAAAGAAATGAAAAGGGCAAATCTGAGCCTCTTTTTTTTTTTTTTTTTTTTTTTTATGCCATACTTATAGTGTATTGTTGATCTTGGCAAGGGGGGTTGGTTGGGTGCATTGAATATGTTTAAGCTCTTGAAAAAACGAAGTTAACAAGGCCAGTTGATTTTATTAAAATAAAGGCCATAGTAAGCAGCAGGAGTTTCTTCACAGGCAAGACCCTTAAATAAAGTTTCCAGGAGTGCTTTGAAATACTCAAACAGACATCTAAAAAAAGGGAAGGGATAACTCCATAAAGCCATTTGTGCAAGACAGACTTGCGCTATAAAGTCAGTATCTTATAGCTGGATTAGTAGTGGCAGTAGTTTATTTATTTATATTAGTATACGTGAATCAGAATACTTTTACTCAGTCTGTGTCAGGTACAGATAACGCCAAGGAGTAAACACTGAACAACAAGTTCTACGGCATTGTATAACGCTGTTTATCAGCCTCTATTACATTAGCATTTCCTTCTGAACTTTTCTGCTTTCCTTAGTTTAACACAACAACACTTAAATATTTTATAGGTTGTGGAAGCAAAATTTTAACTGCCTTACTATTAACTTCACAGGAGACATATAATAAAGTGCTTCCTATGTGCTACGTTGAAAGTTTACCTCCTGCTGTTATTTTCGGTACGTTTTTCATGCCTGAATATATGTACTGCAGTAGAGCACACAGGTCAAAACAAATCCTGTGGAACAGAAAACTACAAAACATATCTTCTAAGAACAACAAAACCAGAAACATCTGTGGTACCCATTCATTGTTTCTACAGTGATTCAAGCCATTTCCGCAGGAAAAGTTACCAATAATCTTGCTGCTCAGCTGCTTTACTGTACTATATATGAAATAGTAAGTTCTCAGGATAACAACCTAGTTTGCTGTTGTTCAATATTTAAGGTATGCTATCAGCACCTGACTTAATCACTATCCGGTATCATCATCACTTTTCTGTGTAGCTTTACATACTTCAAAATCACAGAGCAGATCCTGGAAGGCAGCAGAATTTGGTATAATGGAGGTCTCGTGCCCGCTATCGACAGTTCCCACCAAGGAAAAGGTCAGATGGAGTATGTGGCTGTTCAGAAGGGATCGTTTCTTCTTTAACAGCATTGCCAGCAACTTGAACAAGTAAACAGAAAAGGAATTAGTAGGCTATGAACACACAGCAATGCTGTATAAGCACAAAGCAGCATGGATGACATGTCCCTTTTGAGAAGGCCCTTGACCTATGTCTGATAGTTGATACTCTTGATGAAAAAGCTTGAAAGTGGCATTACGGTTGATTAGAGAAGGGGCACATCCAGGACACCCTCCAGCTCATAAAACATCTGTTCTACACTGCAGACAGTATCTAGGCTCTAAGGATCAGGCACGCACAGACACACGTCAGGTCTCTCGTAGTCAGGCACAGTTTAAGACAGCACATGACACGTTCGCAGATAGTTGTGCTCCCGGACGGCAACTGTGGACATGGCAGACTTAAATAGAGCACCCCTAGAGTATGGCATGCACAAATGAGAGGTATTCTGTCACTGAAGAAAAGTAGTCGCATGTCCTGGTTTCGGCTGGGATAGAGTTAATTTTCTTCCTAGTAGCAGGCTTAGTGCTGTGGTTTGGATTTAGTAGGAGAATAAGGTTGATAACACACTGATGGTTTAGTTGTTGCTAAGTACTGCTTACGCTAGTCAAGGACTTTTCAGCTTCCCATGCTTTGCCAGGTGCACAAGAAACTGGGAGGGGGCACAGCCAGAATAGTTGATCCAAACTGACCAAAGGGCTATTCCATACCATATGACGTCATGCTCAGTATAGAAACTGGGGGGAGTGGGCCAGGGGGCAGCAATCGCTGCTCAGGAACTGGCCAGGTATCAGTCAGCAGGTGGTGAGCAATTGTGTTGTGCATAATTTTGTATATTATTATTACTATTATTACTATTATTATATTGTCATTATTATTACTACTATTTTACTTTATTTCAATTATTAAACTGTTCTTATCTCAACCCAGGAGTTTTCTCACTCTTACTCCTCCGATTCTCTCCCCCATCCCACTGGGGCAGGGGGAGTGAGCAAGCGGCTGCGTGGTGCTTAGATGCTGGCTGGGGTTACATGACACCATGGCAACATAAATCTGAATAAGCCTGACTTTCTTTTTTCTTGCTACCCTTTGTTGCCCTAGGCATGACCGTAGATGTCATCATTTCAGTCCTCATTTCTGCTTTAACTTCTTATAATCTGGGTTGGAAAAGTACAAATTGCTAGACGGACTACTGCTATTTCTTGTCTTCTGATGCAAACTCGTTAAAACTCTCAACATACTGGCCTGTTCAGCTTTACCATCCTCCTTGAAACATTACTAAAGAAATACAGATTTCTGGGAACCTCTCTCAAACCATGCTATTTGCTAAGGTCAATACAAATGGTATGTAAGGTCTTATGTATTGATCCACTGACTGCTTATGGTGCAAGGAGGACACTGTCTAGATTTGCTTGGTCAAAGTAAGCCAAGGTCTGCAACAGGCTTTGTGGAATAATATGTTTCAACGTAACTATACTAGCCATTAGCATTACAAGGTTTGTAAATACACTTGCCCAAACCACAGCACGAACTTTCCATTTCAGTAAAACAGTCTTCATGAGAAACATAAAATGCATTGGTCATGTGAAGATCTTTTCAAGTCAGTCAACCAATCCTTCCGCATAACTGATTACACTTTCCCTACCCCGATGGAAAACTAAGAAGTCTTCAGCTTGAAAGCCAACAGCATCACTAACTATAAAGTCTGTGCAGTCTCCTCAAAATGATGATTCTAGGAGTCCACTTGTTTCAGTTTTCTTCATGTGTCCCTATCCTCCTCTCTTGCTGGCAGATCATGGAGATAGAAGCCCCCAGGTTTGCAGGGGTGGATTGACAATCATGGGAAAAGAATCACCTAAGTACCATAGTTGTGCTCTTCCTTGCTATTAATGAAGGGTCAGTTTCAGCAAAGCAGCTAAACATGCACAACTCCTTAGCAAAACTTTCCACCCTCTCCTTTAAAAGCCATCCTAAATAGCTCATCTATGCTAATTAGCCAAGAGCTTAGTAAACTTAAGAGCAGAAACTCAGGTTACCACAACACCACAAGGAATTTCCACAGGAACTACTAGGACAGACAGTGAAATCCAGTAAGCCTGGTCTGTTTTAAGACATTCTTACATACCTGATAACCTCTGATTCTTTCCATTTCTTTGCTGGCTAGTGGATTGCTCTTTACCACACAGACCAAGGCCTTCACAGCTGCATACAACCCTTCTACATCTGATGCCATGGCTACAAGTCCCAAAATAGCAGCAGCTCCACCAATGTACTGCAGTGTAGTGGCAACAGGCTTCGGGACAAATGCTCTTACTCCTGAGCATAGGCAGAGAAAATAAATTGAAATCAAATCTAACTCTTGTAGGAAATCATTGTGAATACATGCAAGTTATTTGCATTCTTGCATTGCTTGAATTATGAAAATAATATCACTAGAAGAATCATGACACCTCAGAAGAGGAGGTAAAGGAAATATTGCACTGGAAAATAGTTTATGACCTAAGGTAAAGTAATTAAGTATATTTTCATAATGATAACTCATATAAACTGAAACAATCATCCCACGTTAGCAAAAAAAAAAATTAAAATGTTAAATAAATTTAACAATGTACCACTAATATCCATCAATTACATGATTTATCTTCTAGACCTAAGTTCTTATTGACAAGTAATTAAACATGTTTAAACATAATAACTCTCAAGTACTCAACTCACCTAAATATCCTATCAAAGCTGCACCAATGGAGCGCGCTGGTCCATTCAAATGCCCTGCTGAGTTATGTAGCAGCTTCACAGGTGTGGCATTTTCATGAGAAGAAATTGCCAGCTGAACAAAACAAGAAGAAAAGCAAGGGCTAAAGGGAAGAGGGTTTTTTATGTAAGCCTGAACATAACTTGTGTATTTTCCTCCTGTGATAAGGAGTGAGTAACATATAATAAAGCAGAACCATGGTAGAGTCATTATGACATTCTCTAAAGGAAAGAGACATCTCCAGTCTCAGAAGTTTAAGGAAGATAAATGTAACTTTAAAAATAATTCCACTGGATCATAGAATGGTTTCGGTTGAAAAGGACCTTTAAAGATCATCTAGTCTAATCCCCCTCCTGTGGGCAGGGACATCTTCCACTAAATCAGGTTGCTCAAAGCGCCATCCAACCTGACACCTCAAACACTTCCAGGGATGGGGCATCCACAACTTCTCTGGGCAACCTCTTCCAGTGTCTCACCACCCTCACGGTAAAGTTTTGCCCTTCGGCCCAATCTAAATCCACCTTCTTTCAGTTTAAAACACTTGCCCCCGGTCCTGTCACTACACGCCCCGGTAAAAAGTCTGTCTCTGTTGTTCTTATAAGCCCCCATATGTATTGAAAGGCTGCAATAAGGTCTCCCTGGAGCCTTCTCTTCCCCAGGCTGAACATCTCAACTCTCTCAGCCTTTCTTCATAGATGGTCCTTTGTACAAATAATTCACTGACTTTTAATGTACTTCAAAGAAAAATGTAAACCAATATTCTAGTTTCCAAATCTGAATCTCAGTCAAAGGGCTAAGCTATCAGCTTTGTTCATCTTCAACAGTAGAAATATTGTTTAACAATATAATCTTAACAGGATTACAACTGCCATCTACATTAAAAAGCAAAAATACCTCCAAAAGGTGCTAAGATACATAGCTACTAGTAATTTCAAGAATGCAAATAAAATCTAGGAGTACAATCTCCCTCCATTTTCTTAATTTTTTTTTTAAAAACATGAAAGTGATTATGTGCAACTCTTCTGACAAGTACATTGTTGTTCCTGGTTGCATTGAGCAAATTGCCTTGGAAGAAGTAACAAACAAGTAGTACACATTAACCAACTCACTTCCCAACATACCTGTTTGGCAATAGCTTTACTATCCAACTTGTTGTAAACTTTCCTTATTTTTGCCACTGTAAAGAAAGACAATGACAGTGCATAGAGACCAAAAGAGACCTTCTCTTCCGGTACCAAGGATACTGGAGATGGGTTGATTCCTTCAGACTTCGAATCTTTGCCTTAAAGACAAAATAAAAGTTCATGTCAGTAATAACACTGGTTTTCTTTTCAGTTTTAAGAGTAAAATCTTAAGCAAATTGTATTGCAGAAGAGATATAGAAGAAAGGTTTTACAAATAGCTGAGATTTTATATGGTCTTTGTATACTTGCTCACTGTGCCAAAGAGTAGCTTGATAGCATATGAGTTGTGGAATAAATCTGCTATTTAAGATAAAATGCCAATGCACAGCAAACATTTCTTTTCAAGGAGGTCTCCAATATTAACCCGTAATGGCAACTGGCAGTCCGTGGCTTGGCCAAGCAATAGAAGATGTGGTGCTTCCTCATCTGAATTTTTGGAAGGCAATATTACTCCTGCACTCAATTTGAGTACAGTCTAAGGGCTGTTCACTTTCCTTCCCACCTGAAGAAAAACAAAGTAATCAAAAAACAGAGGAGTATTTGGTACATCTGCATCTCTGCCTGAGACAACAAGCTTCTTCCAATGGTTTGCTAGGAAAACCGCCTTAGAGAATGGTACAAGAGATGCAAGACTGAATAAAGACCAAAAGGCCCAGGCATAAAATAGAATATATAACCGTATCTTTAGTCTTTTGTATCTACTGCTCCAAAAGTGGATGCTTCTTGTGAGACACTGCAAACACTATGACTGACAGCTGTCTACAACACTCAGAGGAACTGTGCAAAACTCAGCACCTGAAAGCTCAACATAGAGCTTCACTTCTGCATCTTCATTCCAGGTCAGAAGGTGTCTGCAACTCCAGTGAAACACATTAATAGCATTAAGAAAGCAGGAAGGCTCCTCACCTAACACTGAAACAAATGAGAAGCTGGGTGTCTACATAATTTTTTGAACCAGGGTCAAGTCTCTGTCAAGTCTCACTTCAGAAAGAATTCTAGAAGTCTTGGTTTCCCCATAAATGAAATCCTCATTGGATCCTCTGCTCATGCGGATGCCCTGAGAACATTCCTCCATTTCAGTGAACAGACAAAGGAATTCCTTCTCCTGAACCAGGAACTTCTCTCTGAGGGGTCTTTCCAAGACCTGAAGAGTATCAGGTTTTTCAGATGGCTATCTTGCTCACGGGAAACAGGGACAAAACTTCGGAAAGAACCATTGCATGGGCAAATGGCAAGTCAGACACGATTTCCCTGTTAAAGGACAACAGCAGAAGACTGCAAGGGCTCTTCCCTTCTTCAGGATTCCCACAAACAATGATTACAACTAAGGAAAAACAAGCATTTTGGAAAGAGAGGCCAAGATAAAAGGGTAACATACAGAGCTTCACACTCCACCCCCTATCAAACTCCTTAGGGTTTGGCCCAGTGCACGTGACATGAACAGAAGCTTACCCCAAATAGAAACACGCCCTTTGCTCTGGAGCAGACCACTTCTGAAATACAGCAAACTAAACAAAGCTTGTGCAGGAGAAATACATCGCCACACTGGAAAAAGTCAGTATGTTAAGAAGTGAAGAATTCTTTTAAGTTACTGTGGGCTTCCTGATGAATGTGGCCTTAGCATTAAGGCAGGAAGATCTTTAATTCTCAGAAGTGAATGAACAAATTCACATTCACAGAATTTGCTTTGGCTAATTCAGTACCTGCACAGCGCCAGTCAAAATGCCTTCCAAGAGAAATTATAATTGACTAGCAGATATCTAAATCCAGAGCTGCTTGCCAGGTTTGTCTAGCTGTCAAAAAAGCAAGTACATGACACAGATCTGTAGATGACAAAATTCAATTCTGTAAAGTTTTTCACTCAAGATGGGCAAGGAAAGCTACCTTCTTTTTCATGATACTTTGTTCTTTCAAAGCCTGAAGATCATCTACATTTGGGGTGGGGGGGGTGTCTGCCACCACTCTAGGGAAAGCTTTCACTTTTCAGAAAAGTAAGAGTCTGTGCACTCCCTGTACATACTTTTGTTTTCCCACCACTCTTGTCACTCACTGCCTCCTTCCTTGAGGTGGTGACAGTTTCTCTCCAGAAGAGCTGGAGAGCGTTAAGGTCCTCATGGAGAAAGACAATGCAAGGACAAGATGACTCGATACGTTACCCATTTTTATTTATGTTTTGCTGCAAAGCCCTGTGATAGCCAGGTAAAGCAATGAGCATCTTCTGACACAATACTGATGTTAGTGAGCAGGTACTCTAACTACAAAGAAAGACAGGGAGCTGTACAGAACAGGAAAATCTCACTAGTGACAGTTCATCTTACCAGAGCTAATGAAGAACCTGTTGTCTGAATAGTTAAAAACAGGGTTACGGACACACATTTCTAACAAGGTTATTCACATCTTTTGGTGTTGCACTCCCCTCAATTTCAAACAAGAACACTTAAAAAATGTAACAGAATTGCCCATATGTGTTTGCAACGAATGTTTAAAGAGTATCTGCTGCACCACAATCCCTCCCTGTTTGATTTTTTTTTTCTCAGTTGACCTATTTAGGCCCTATAAACAATGACATTTCAGGACAGCTGTGTTTAAAGTACAGAATACATTGTGGATTTGCAAATGAGTGCTATCAGTAGAAACTGACAAGTTAAAATGCCTTTCCAATTTCACTTTCTACAGACAAATAGAATATACAGTATGAATAATGACACTTGTAAGCATTTCTAACTGGTTTAAAACTAAAGTAAGGAATACAAGCACTTCTAGCATCTCAGTACAAGAACTACCAGAAGTATGTTAAAACAGTAATTTGGATTTCTATCATCCTCTTCGATAGCAGCTACTAATCTTCTTCCTATGAACAGCTAGCTTTTCCTCTTTGCTACCTCATACTCTCCTTTCTCACCTCTTCTGCCAATATGCGCACAGAAGATTCCACCATACCCAGGCCAAGTTACTAGAGCTGGCATTTGAATTGTACTTACATGGTACATATACTGCTTGAAAGCTTCCGACGTAATTTGGTCCCAGCTCATAAATGGTGCTAACACCTGGGGCAGGCAAAACTTCCTCCAGGAAATGTGTAGGGCCCAAACGCCACACTAATGAAGACAGCTGGCGCTGTGCAGGTGGTGTGCCAATATAGGCGTAAACACTGCTGACTACAGGTGGATTGGCAGAACCAGACCCACTAGGGCTACTATGAATATAGTGAAGCTGTAAGGGAGAAAAACACAGTGAGGTTATTGAGACAGCATGGGTACCATGAATAGAACGTAGACTGATCAGAAGTTCAGGAAAGCCATCTGCAAACCAGGGGACGTTCCAAATGATTGCTATGTAACGCACAGTATTCTGATAGCATACAGCAAGTCAGTGAAGAACATTAATCAGAAGGTAAATGCAAAGATCAGAAGTTAAGTGGCTTTCAAAAGATGAAGGCGTGTATGGAAACACAAGATGAGAACATGCGAGTGGTGTGCTTAAAAATGCTAAAGAACAAGGGTGTATCTTGCTTCTAAAAACATGGTGCTTTATGATGGTCATTATTTTTTGCAAAAGCAATTGGACAGCCTCATAACCTTGTGTTCTTCCTCCTCCTGCTTCAGCCGCTAAAAACACGCCTTTGGTAATTTTACTGTTTTGAGCTAAAGTGCAAACATGATGAACTCAATTTGATAAGATTTTCAGGTGGCAATAAAACAAATACACGGAGAAGATGCTGGCCTATATATAATGGCAGTAACAATCTCACAGGCATTTTCTATAAACCTTGTAAAAATTTTGTTATCAGCTATTGAATGTAGTCACGTATGACCAGATACACACGCATGTATTACAGTTATTAGCATAACAAAAAAAGTTACTATAATTCTTTCTGCAAAAGGAATACTGAAAGGTAAACTTTTAAAATCAAAATATTGTTTTACCTATAGCAGTACAGTAACACTAGCTAACTTGCACCCCGCACCAGGATTAGTTTACTCCCTTAAGGTCCATGCCTGCCAGGTGCCAAATACTTGTGGTTATCAGTTACAGGTCAGGAATACTTTGTGCTTAGTGAACAGATCCACAGTGCTCTTCACTGCTCTCTGCTTTTGGCCTCCTAGTTTTTTCCACCTAAGAACAAAAAACTGACCTTTACAACTAAATGCGCTTCATCTACAATTACTGGACATCTCAGTGGCTATCACTGACAAGTGGATGCTATTTCTGGGGTGGCAAGAGGGTTTGGAAAGGACAAACACAGCTAAACTGGCAAAACTGTCTTACTCTGTGATCTCCCTATTATTCAAAGTTAGATCTGCTACATGGTCTTGGGATAAGTCTTCTTCAGCTTCTTATCATCCTTCTAATTAGTCTAGTCAGCAGCGTAGCCATGCCACACTTGCCTCACATTCAATATAACATGTCCACTTCACTTCAGCATTACTATTGCTCATGCCCGAGAAAGTATTCATTACCTTCTCCTCTTAACAGAACTAGGGCTGGGTCTGAGCTGTATAGTGAGCAAAGACCCCTTTTTGCAAGGCTCCTCATTTTGGGTTTGGTGGGGTTTGCGGGTGGGGGGTGGGGTGGGGTGGTGGTTCTGTTGTTGTTGTTCTTGTTCTGTGTGGGATTTTTTTTTTTTTTTTATTTTCACACATATGTATGCACAGAGAGAGAGAAATCACTCCAAACAGTAAAAATGAGGATTTAAAGATTTATTTTACCTTTACAGTGTTAACAAGCTGTCCATCAAGGTAGAGCGCAGCTGTGCTGTTCTTTAGCATGCCTTTACTCATGACCAGAACTAGGTGATGCCACTGGCCTTCCACAATGAGGTCACCACAGCGAAAACGGGCACAACAAGGAAGAATTTCATAAAATGATGATTCCTCGCTGAAGTCATCAACTAAAGAGAAAGTACCAGTTAGTGGGCACCGGTAGAAACGTTACTAGTCTGTTTTAGGCTTCTTCTGTCATTCAACTTTACGCAAAACAATCTACAGCAATACACCAAAGACAAAATTTTAGAAAACATGTACAGTGTGACCAAAAATACAATTAACAAGATACGAATTAAGTCATATGATTAACAAGATACAACTTCAGACTTTCAAATACAAGAACTGAAAGAATGCAATCAGAATTTTTGAGAAAGTATTCAGATCAAATTGTCACAATTTGACAGGCTGAACATCATTAGATACTTGCACATTAACAAACCAGTATAGTTTTGGTAGTATTAACAACAGGTCTCTTCTTCCTGCCTTAATTCGTCTCTAAGAAAATTCTCAGGATACTTTTAGAGTTTTGCCTATTACGTTTTACTTCTCCCTTTCTACCCTGCCTTTGAAATTTTAGCTGGAATGTCTAGCTTGCTCAAGTTTTACTAACTTTCTCATGCCGCTATGCAGGTCACAGAAAGATTTTTGTTGTTTTTCTAAAAAAGTTTTTACAGCAGTAGTCAGCAAGAAATAACAGATGTCTCTCTAAACCTATAGAACTATTTTTCACTCTTCTCATACTGTGGAAAGAAAGATATCCATACTTCCTGGACTTTCGCCTCACACTTTTCCTTGCTCCACAGTGGTCTCCTCCACAGGCCACACTACCTGCTCCAGTATGGTCTTTTCCAGGGGCCACAGGGGGTCTCTGCCCCAGCGCCTGGAGACCCCCCCCTCCCCTCCTGCTCTCACCTTGGTGTCCTCAGGGTGCTTCCTCTCACATTTTTTAACTTACTCCTCTCTCCATGCAGCGTTTCACCCTCTCTTACATGTGTTTTCCCAGAGGCACCACCAGCCTGGCTGCTGGGCTCAGCTGTGCCCTGCGGGGGGTCTGCTGCACAGCCAGCTGGAAG